CAAAGCAACAAATAATAATAATCCAAATTTGTTTTATTAAGTAAAATAAGTAATTAAAGTCAATATATAAAAAGAGATGAGTAAATAAGCTTATTATAATAGCATCAAAGTGAAGACTGCATATATTTCTTAGCAAATATGCTAATTAAGCATTCAATAAGAATTAATTAATATGCTCATATCATTCACTGACTCAAAGTCGACTTTATCTGATTTATTTGCAGCTGTTAATCTCCTTGATTTACTTCCGTTATCAAAATTTAATATCAACTATTAGTCATTAAAATCATAATTATTGAATAGATAATAATTATTGAATTAATGAATGGATAACTATCAGATTTTCAGAACTGAATAAAATTCAGTTAAAACTTTAATTAAATAAACTTAAAAAGCACTGCAATGCAGTAATTCCTCCTCAAAACAAATCAAATATTATGACTAATATTTGGTCTGGCTATTATTTTTAAAGCAACATTTTGGGTTGCTCATCATCATTAATAATAATCAAAAATAATAATAAATGATAATAATAGTGATAATAATGATGTCATGGCATCATTATTGGCAAATATGTAAAGCTTAGATCTGTTTGCAAACTCTTACCGAAAAAATTTGGAAACATAGAAAAATAACGCTACATTATAAATCGCTTTTTTGATACTCACGTATAATGACGGAAAGTATTATGTAGTAGTCATCGTCTAAGGAGAGAAAATTAGGAATCATAATAATAATCAAAAGGTTGAAAACTTTGATTACTGCCAATAGCGCAGTTTTCACAGCGCTTGCTGCTTTGTTATATGCAAAATAAAAATGTAATTTTGTGTTTTATTGCTGGAAATCATTAGTAAAGTATAATGAAACTATGATTAATTTTTTCTGCTGTGATAAAATTTGATAAAAGAAGAAAAAGAACTAATGAGAAATAGTGGCTTAATAATTTGTTAGCCAAATTAAACTAAAAATTGTTGTAAAAATATGCAACACAATTAGTTGCTTTTAAAAGAATTATAAACTTGACTTTTGATAATTTTTTTTATCAATTTGCAAATAAAGCTTTCAATCACGCAAATTACAAAAGTTAACTTATCAGATATATCTTCAAATCATTGCTTTTTTGGTAAGAAAGCGCGTAAAATTATGATATCTAAATTCTATTAACAAGGCTTTTTAAGGGCGTATAATACATTATTTTTACCCTTATATAGCTTCTGAGGTCCTAAACTCTGTTAATTTCTAAGATTTACCATTGAATTATCAAAAGTG